ATATATATATATATATATATATATAGGGTTAGGTTATAATGTGGATTACATCTATTGCGTGGATGTAGGGATGAATATGAACTAATGGTTTTGGTTATTTTAAGAAATTGATTTACCAATATTATTAATTTAAAGAAAATTGAATATATGTCATTTAACTAAAAAAATGGTAATATTGTACATTTGCATTATCTTCAAATTAGGAAACATAAGCTTAATTAATGAAAATTTCCGAATTTAAGGGATATTTGATTATTTTTTGTTTTTATTTCTGATTTTTTAAATTAATTTAGTTCTAATTCTAACGTTATTTTTAATTTACCCGATTTTTTCTTCTGCCAGAATGACATTCTAAAAGAATGATTTTTTATGAGAATGCTAGAATACAAATTTTGCAGAATACAAGTCACATTCTATAAGAATACAACTCAAATTCTATTAGAATACAATGTCATTCATGAATCTTTTGTCACATTATATAAGAATAAAATGCTTTAGAGTAAGTTATTCTTGAAAGAATATCCATTCTATAAGAATAAAATCTCATTCTTGAAAATGTTAGTAATTCTTGTAATAATCTTCATTCTCATTTTTTTTCCTGTTTTAGTAGATTCTTTTTCCTGTTTTAGTAGCTTGTATCTCGTGATATACTTGGCCTTGTTGGTGTGATGAATCTTAGTTTTCATGAAATTTTCTATTAATTTTCATCAACCATTGTTATTCCAACAACTTTGCTGCATTTGGCCCTGAAATAAAACACATACCCAATCCAAACCCAAAAAATTTCAATATCGTTATCAATCAGTTACAGTTAAAATCCAATGCCCCATATTGGTTTCACCAATCTTCCATGTATTAGAGACTATATAATTACTCTAAAATACCATTTTTGATTATGTTGTGTAAAGATTATAAAAACGCTAAATCGCTAAATGTCAACATATATGTTTCAAACAAAACGGAAGAGAAAATATGGTCCTTGTGTGATGTAAACGATAACAAACAAGATTATAATTATAGCCCATTTAATCCACCATTGAAAACAAAATTTATAATAATTACAATCAAAGAACCAGTAATAGCCAACTTTAAACTTATGCAGCGAAAAAGACCAAACAAAGTAGAGATCATATTACAAAAAAACCAAAACCAATGCCAAGGGCATCTTAACATGGATGATTACATGTACTCATTTATTTTTGTCAAAGACGCCAAACCGGAGACGACGTGATGACGTCGTAAGCAAAGCAAACAAAGGAAGGATATTGTCTTGGGTGGTGGCAGACCATTGGATTTCAATGTGATTGCATCATTGCCTTCGTAAGACAAACACATTGAATAGTTTAAATTGAATGACGACAAGGGGAGACGATTGCTCGAATTGGACTGAAGTCCGGCGGAGAAAGAAACATACGGATGCAAGAACACTCAATGAAATCACATACTTTGTCAGTAATGTCCCAGGCGACGTTAACAGGGAGGAGATAAGGAAAGAATTTCTTAGGTTTGGCAAGGTATCAGACGTGTACTTTCCAGGAAGAAAGGGGAAGAACGGGCAGTTTTATCTCTTCATCAGGTTCATGGATGTGGTAGATAAACTTGCCCTAGAAAGGCAGATTGATGGTACAATGCACAGGGGGAGGAAACTATCGATCAATCTGGAAAAGCACCCTCGAGAAACTATGGCCTCTAAAATCGTACATAATAGAAGAGAACATGGAGCATACAAAGGGAATAAAACTCATAACTTCCGGGATACTAGAACCTTTGCAGAGGTCACTTGCCCTAGAACAAAGCATCAACCCTAAGTTCAGGATTCGCCTCCTTCCTCTCATTTAATCACCATTTCGCCTGACACAGAAAATAGCCACAGACTTAGGAAGATATCAGTGGTGGGGTAAGCACTATCCCTTGCCAACCTTGGTCACATGAGGTCTCTAATTCAACTAAAGGAGACGCCAAACTTTGAGATTACGTACATTGGGGGACTCAAGGTTTTGCTCGTATTCAAAGACTTCATCGCGGCCAAAGGGTTCATGGAGAACAGAAGAAGATGGGAAGAATACTTAAAATGGGAAGAAGATGGAGAACTTGAAAGCACGTTGAAATATGAGCGAGTTGCATGGATAAGAATCACTGGGCTTCCCTTACAATACTGGGGGGAAACAAATTTTTCTGCCATTGCTGCCCCTTATGGTGTAATCATTGCTTCATACGATGATCTCCCAAATCGTGTGGATATGTCCCACGTGAAGATTGGAATTTTAATAGGAATTAGACGAAGAATAAATGAAGAAATTACAATATCGTTAATGGGCACACTGACTAGGATTGGTATCATAGAGTTTGATGAAGATTGGTTTCCGTTTAACTTTGATCCGGTGTCTAATCCATATGAGGAGGAATTGGTGGATGATACAGAGTCAGAAGATGGGATATCCGATACATGGATACCGGAAAACAACACAGATCTTGAAGAAGGGGAGATTGAGATGGAGAACGGTGGCGTTACTGACGGTGCCGTCAACAGTGGCGCCGGAGAAGGAATGCCAGCAGACGCACATGTGGAAAAGGCTCCTCGAGAAGAGCAATCGGCGCACGCTGAAGTTCTACCCAGGATGGAATCTGAACATGCTCATGGGAAAAACACTCCAATTAACTCCAACGGTAAAAATAATTCAATGAAAGCTAATATTAACAGTCAATTGGACCGACAAGGTCCAACAGGTGAAAACAAGGAAATTGGTGGCAATGGGCCTTCACATAGCATCGAACTTATTGGGCTCCTTGATAGTGAATGCTTTGGCCCTTGTTCGTCTAGGTGGATAAACAGTCCAGAAAATTCTTGGCCCAATTACCTTCCTCAGTTCAACGTTGGGGGATCCACACTTAGAAGACACAGAACATATGATATGGCTTTTCCTTTCTCCGCAAATCAGATCCGCCCTATGGGTAATCTTGACTCTGATGATGTCGATTATGGAGCATCTGTACCCCTTCCCAACGGAAACACTGCTCCAGTGGACAGAAGTGAAGACGGATCCTCAATTGATCTTATCGAGGGTGCAAGGAGAACTCACGGAATGTATCAAGAGCTAAACTTAATGATTGTATATCCTCTACACTGGAGGCAGAGAATATAGCTATTGTCGGTAAGCAACTGAGATTTGAAATAGAGATGGATAATCCCATATTATCGGAAGTACTAGGCGATGTGGGAGCTAACAGAGTAGTCCAATGAACTGGATGTCACTTAACATCAGGGGGATGGGGGAAACCCCAAAAATTGTATGGGCCAGGAGATTGAAAATCAAACATCGACTATCTTTTCTGGGAATCCAGGAGACTCAAATGACGAACTCAGAAGACATAGATGCGGGAGGATGTTGGGACTCCAACAACTTTGGCCTTGCAACTGTAGACTCCACTGGAGGATCGGGTGGGATATTAAGCATTTGGGATGAAAGTCTTTTTAGTGTCACAGAGATTATCAAAAGCAGGCACTTCCTAATCATAATCAGGCAATGGAAAGGAATACAAGGAAGAACTATCTTTGCCAATGTGTACGGACCCCATTCGATTCCAAAAAAACAAACACTGTGGGAGAATCTTAGCAAGATAATGAATGAGAATCAGGGGACTTGGATAATATTTGAGGATTTCAATGTAGTGAGACATCCTGAGGAGAGAATCAACTCCCAATTCTGTCAATCCAGTGCTCGAGATTTCAACCAATTCATACATGAAGTCGGTCTTCACGATGTCAAGATGGGGGACATAGATTTACTTATTTTTGTCGGCATGAATTAAAACTAAGCAAACTAGACAGATTTCTAGTTTGCTCAAACTTCCTGGATATTTTCCCCAACACGAGCGTCACCGTCCTACCAATGGAGTTATCTGATCACTGCCCATTACTACTATCCATTGATTATTTTGATTTTGGGCCCAGACCATTTTCGATTTTTTAATGGATGGATGCAAAGAGAAGACTTCAACATGGCTATAGATTGTGCTCTACAAAGCTTTAGAGGATACGGAACCCCTGATATGTATCTGGCCGCTAAGCTCAGACATCTTAAGGATTATTTAAAGAAATGGAGAATTACAACATTCCCCAAAGAAAAGGCGGAGTTAAATCAGCTAAAGAACTTAGTAGACTCGCTGGATATGGCGGTTGAAACAAGAACTCTTACGGTAGATAAGATGAATAAACGTAAGGAAGGAAACCAAAAAATTATTGAGCTAGAGAAATTGGCGGCCCTTGATCTCAAGTGAAAGTCACGAATCCGGTGGGCAGTTGACGAGGATGAGAATACCCGTTTTTTCACAGGTATGTAAACAATAAGAACCGAAAAAACACTATATATGGATTGACAATCGATGGGTCTTAGTCTACAGACGCAAAGGAAATAATGGATGAGGCAGTTAGATTCTTTGAGCACAAATTCAAGGATAGATGGCCTGTGAGACCAAAATTGATTAGCAATCAGTTTAAGGTTCTCTCTGAATTGGATAGCAAAAACATTGAAGAACCTTTCATGCTTGAAGAGATCAAGTCAGATGTTTGGGCTTGTGGAAATGAAAAGGCCCCTGGTCCGTATGTCTTTACTTTCAAATTCATCAAACATCAGTGGGAGAGGCTCAAAGATGACATCTTTTCTATGGTCAAATATTTTGAACAAACTGGCAGATTAGCAAGAGGATGTAACTCCTATTTCATAACATTGGTGGCTAAGGTCAAAGATCCTCTATCTTTGGGGGACTTTCGTCCTATTAGTCTCATTGGATGTCTCTATAAGATAATTGCCAAAGTGCTAGCATGCAGACTTAAGAAGGTTGTGGGACTCACTGTGGACGAAGTCCAGTCCGCTTATGTGGATGGAAGAAGTATACTTGATGGCCCCCTCATTGTAAATAAAATTTGCTCATGGTCAAAGAAGATGAAAAAGAAGATATTACTTTTCAAGATCAACTTTGATAAGGCGTTTGACTCCGTTAATTGGAGTTTTCTTGACTCAACCATGATGCAAATGAGGTACGGTGAGAAATGGCGTAACTGGATTCACTGATGCTTAACTACATCTAGATCATCAGTACTTGTCAATGGAGCGCCCACCAAAGAATTCGCACTTGAAAGGGGGGTTAGGCAAGGGGACCCCCTCTCCCCATTCCTGTTTATAATTGCTATGGAGGGTCTCAATGTTGCAATGAAATCTGCTTGTGCTAAAGGGCTGTTTCAAGGTCTTAAAATTCTAATGTCAAACAAAATGATCTCACATCTTTTTTATGCAAATGATGCACTCTTCATAGGCGAATGGGCTGAAAGTAATATCAAGAACTTGGCACGAATACTTCGCTGCTTCCATATATCCTTAGGACTCAAAGTTAATTTCTACAAGTCGAAGGTGTTTGGAGTTGGCTCATCAATACGTGAGACTTCCCGAATGGCAGCCCCACTTGGATGTGAGCCTGCAACACTCCCGTTCACTTACTTCGGAGTACCAGTAGGCGCCAATATGAACCTGAAGAAAAATTGGCAGACTGTAATTAACAGATTCAATGGGAAGCTATCATCTTGGAAGGAAAAATCATTGTCATTCGGTGGAAGGTTGACTCTCATTAAATCGGTTCTTGGTAACCTCCCCACTTACTTCTTCTCCCTCTTTGTGGCACCGATGGGGGTCATAAGCGCACTAGAACGGATACGAAGGAAAATTTTGTGGGGGGAAACGGAAAACAATAAAAACATAAACTAGGTGACTTGGGAAAAAGTAATAGAGCACAAAGAAGCAGGGGGACTGGGATTGGGATCACTTAGGGCCCTTAACTTATCCCTTATCGCAAAGTGGTGGTGGAGATTAAGATTGAATCAAGACACACTATGGAGTCAGGTCATCCAAGGAATTCACAAAATAAAATCAAAGAAAGATTCATGTCTAGCTAATCGATTGAGCACTGGTGCTTGGAAGAATATTGCCTCGATTGATACATAACTAAGGAAGGTAGATGTGCCGATGGAGGTTATTATGAAGAAAAAGGTGAATAAATGTGGCAATACACTGTTTTGGCTCGACAGATGGATTGAGAATGAAACATTAAAGGTAGCATTTCCGAATCTATACGATTTGGAAAGAAAAAAAAGATGCACAGTGGAAGATAGAGCGAAGGTCACTGGACTAGAATAGAACTGGAAGACTACTCCAAATATCACCGATCTTACAGCCCTCTGTTCATCATTGGGTCAATTTCGGCCAACAACAGATGAAGACAAATGAAGATGTGTTCTATCGGGAGATGGTAAATATCATGTTGACATAGTCAGGCATTTGATCGACTGGCCAAAGGATCCAGTACCTCACGTCAAAGTTGAATGGATAAAGGAAGTCCCCATCAAAGTTCTCTGCTTCATCTGGCGAGCAAGTTTTGGGAGGATACCAGCAGCTACAGAACTATCCAAGAGAGGTGTAACGTTAGAATCAGTCCAATGTGGACAATGTATGGAGGCGGATGAAAGTCCAAATCATATTCTGCTCACTTGTCCTTTTGCGAAGACTGTTTGGGAATGGATTTGGAAATGGTGCAACATGCCTCACTTTCAATTTAACATAATAGCTGATCTGATTGAATATGTATCACAGCAGGGCAGTCACATGAAGAACAGGAAGGTCTTGATCAGCATATGCTACGGTACACTCTGGGAGATTTGGAAGGCTAGGAATGGGAGGCTATTCAAAAAACTGCCAACTACCCCCCCCCCCCCCACCCCCCAAAGGTTGCTAATAACATCCAATCGATGGTATACATGTGGCTGAAATACAGGAGCTCGACAAAGATCTGTGAATGGGCTATTTGGTGCTCATGCCCTCTTAATTAATTGAATTCCAATGTAATGCAGTAGGAGATGATAATGATAATGATGTAAACTGAAACTCTACTGTCCCTGCTAGCTCCTTGCTAGTCGGGATATCTTTGTTTTTCCTTTTTACAATTAATATTATTGCTGGTTCCAAAAGAAAAAAAAACAAAAGTCAAAACTTAGAAATTGAGGTCAAATATGGAGTGCAATTAAAATTTTCAAATAAACATTAAAATCCGACAATACAAATTTTAAGAATTACCTCTAAAGTGAAGACGATAATTTTGCCGGCGGCTGCACATATGACGGTAGTGATGGTTATGCGGCGACATTAGGGTTTTTGTGATAATTAAATTGACAAACCATCGACAGTGAAAGACTTAAACCATACAAAATTTGGTAGATAGATCCATAATTATAGGGTCAATGATTATAGAGTTACGATAATAATAAGATTAATTTAAAAGTTACTTTACAAAATTACCCTTATATATTTAGTTAATTAATAAAGTTTAAAAATTAAAATGATTGGTCCATATTAATCCCTACATGCACACAATATTTGTTCATCCATATATGAACATAGCTCTCTCTCTCTCTCT